ATAGTATGAATTGATGAAATAACAAGATTTCGTTTCAGGATTCGATCTTGATTCAGTAGATTCTTTTCTGATGATTCAGAAATTAGAAGCCTAATCAGCACAACGTCCTCATAAAAAATGCTGGCTCATAAATAACAGACAATGACTGTCACTACTATGGATTAACTTTTTCTTCTCTTTCTTCTCTCTCTTTCGCATATCCGTTTGCAAATTAGCCGTATAACTGTTTAGTACATGGCAAGTAGGAGGTTACACTGATGATTCCCGCTCCTACCCGCACGTAAAGTTCAGTCTGTGTTTACAACTGAGAGATGAAACACAGACTGCATCCTAACATGTCTTCATACACATGACACTTAGACCAATTCCTTATCTTTTATTCCATTATTTGAAATTATCAAAATAAGTTTATAAAAACGTAAATTACCAATCAGAGCATTAATGCCATCACACCAGGCGCTAATCGTTTGCTCGTCAGAAGTGATTAAGTGGTACAAGTCAGGTTTTTCGCCAACTTGCAGTGTCAGGCCACGCACATTTGCATTTTTCTTGCTCTTCGTTCCACTCATCGGAAAATCTCCTTCGCCACCGGCTATTACGCGCTGTATGTCTGCCACAGCAACTGAACAAGACAATATGTAAACGTAAAAGACCATATACAACTTTGAAAATTTGAAGTGAATAAAAGTATTACTTTTCAAATTTGCTGCAGAATTGGCATTTGAGGAAGCTTCGGAATTCGCACAATCCGAACAAATTAACGTTTTCTCATTAGCATCCAATTTCCAAAACCAAAACTGCTGAGCTAAAAGAATCAAAAAACTCAGCCCTTACAAATTTTAAAAACAAATAATTGGCCAGCGCACCGGCTGCAGGTGCGAAGATGAGTTTTTCGCAGTCCCCCGCAGGTTTTTGCCGCTAATGACACTGATTTTTCTGGCAGATGCTTCTAGCTAAAAGAATTGAGACTGACCACCGCAAATGTCAGAAAACATCTCCTTAAAATTTCAGTTTTCTAGCTTCTCAGGCTCCCGAGTTAATAACCTATTCGCCAGAAGTTTTCACGAGTGTGTACGTGGAAACCAGTTTAAAATCATCAAGTTCTACGTGGGCGGCGATCACCCCCTTAAAATTTCAGTCTTCCAGTTTTTCTGATTCCAGAATTAGCAGCTCATCCGCCAAAAACTTCAACGGGCCGTATTGAGAAATACGTGGGCGAGAGCGTATATTTTGGGGGTAGAAGCGCATACAGGTGATTAGATCAAGTTCCCAAAGTTTCTGCCCCGCACCTTTCAAAAAGGATGATAAGGAAGGTCTGAAGAACCCAATACAGGCACACACAGACACATGCATACATAGACAACCCCTCGAAAATACGCGTTTTTGCACTGCATAGATGCAAAAATCCATAAAAAGAACAAGTCCGTGGATGAACAAAATTACCTTTTTGCAGTGATTTGCTTTTTGCCAATTTTCCAAACGTGTAGCCGTTTTTTAGTGTATTTTTGCGGTTTTTCAATATGAGTTCCACGATACTTGGTCGGAGATACTCGCGTAACTCCCTAAAAGCAAAAGCAGTGAAAGCTCAATTGACGCCACGCCAAAAAGGGCCACTTCACCCCCAAAAAAAAAAAGATTGGATTGAAGTAACGAATAAATTAATCAATAAAACTTGTCCATAAAAGGAGGGAATAAAGCAAAAATATAACTAGACAAATCAACGCATTTTAACATTACTTAACAGCGTCGCTTTGCAATTCTTCCGCTTCCTTTGCGCTCCTTTCATCTTCCCACAATTTCTTCATATGCGGATATGAATGCACAGCTAGCAATTCTTCTAATTTTTCAATACTCTCAGGTTTTTCCAGCAAACAGACATCCATTTGCTTTCTGACAACAGCCAAAACCTGAATTTGAAAAATATGTGAACAGCAGTTTTTTGACGATTTCAATGAAGTCCACATTTACCAAACTTTTTAGAATGCTTTAAAAAATTCCTGAAGAAATTACGAGCAACTTAAAACTCCCTACCTTTTTGATATCCTCATCACTTGCGTGCATTTCACGCCATGTTCGATGGAAAAGTCTCACCAATACCGCAAACAGATCCAGAAATGGCCGATCGCTTTTGAATAACAAAACCATCAACCTTTCTCCTTCTGTAAAAAAATGCGCTTCCACTGTGCTTAAGCTTCTCTGTTCTAAAGCAAAAAAAAAAAAAAATAGGATACCTGGTTCATTAATAATATGAAGAATGTCAATCAGCATCTGCACCAAATGAGCTGATACCACCGTAAACGACCAAGGTTTATGATCAGATCTCATCGAATTTTCCAGTGATATCTAAAAATGCTGACACTTCAACGAAAAAAAATGCATCATGTTTTTTACACTTTAAGTATTGTTTTAAAAATATGCCTTTTATGTTTTTGCTGAACAAAATGAAAAGTGAACGGAAAAATTACGTAGATGAGGCATTTTACTATTACAAACGTTATCGCCCTAGCAAGAGAAATTGTAACGATTACCAGAACTGTTCGAACAATCCGTACTGGAGCTGAAATGTGTGCTAGCGAAGCAGGAAGGATTTCAACCAGGATCTCCAGTTCAGAGTTTTAAGTTATCTGATGCTAGATATGCTATAATAAATAGTGACGCGCAGCAGAGTAGCCTGTGCGATCACGCGCTTTACGCTATTCTATATAGAAGACGCTGGCTGTTAAGAATATTCACTGCTTTACAGTTTGGTATGTGCAAAAATAGTTCAAATGCTATCTGTTTCCTGAACTACGAAATTTCCCGTACTTGTGAAAGTTAGGGATAAGTGAGGGCTGAGTTTAAATTCATAGAAAACACGGGAAAAACATCTGAAAATTTTAGCTTCTATCTTCTCTGACTCCTGAATTTAAAATTTCCATGTGAAATTTTTCATATCCGCAAATGAGGCGTAAAACAACACGAACCTCAGGCAAAAAGTTCCCCGCCAAAACTTCCGTATATCCGCGTGTGAGGTCTAGACGCACATGAAAGATGAGCTTAAATTTTTATATTCGAAAATGACCAGAAAACATTTTAATTTCTGCTTCCTAGCTTTTCTGGATCTCAAGTTGGTGATTTTTCTATTAAAAGTTTTATGTATTCGTAAGTGATTTATGCGTACGTAAGGAGTGAATCTAAGCTTGCATTATCGTATACGACCATGGAATGGCCTACTAAGACTTCAGCCTTCGAGTTCTTCTTGGCCTCTAAGTTGAAATTTTGGACAAAATACATTCTCAACACTTACACACATATGCAAATATACACAAATACATACACACTTAAACGTAAGCTCTCGACAATATAGGTTTTGTGCAACTGTTGCAACAATAAGGTCGCGTAAAAATACTACATGAAAATTAAATTATTATTCTTATGCGCGAATAAGTCTTTAAAAATTTTCTTTTCAGAACGCAGCCAACCTTTGCAATGGTATCAGCATGGCGCGTACCAAACGACAAGATCGTTTCCAGTGCCAATGAGCCCGGTGGTGTTTTTACCACAGCTTCTCTAAAACTCAGGAATTCTGCGCGCTTTTCGTCTGCTTTGCTACTTTCCCCGTTGAAGACTTTCAGCTGCTAAATTACAGACATTTTCACGAACAAAGTACTAAAAATGCTTTGCATTCTTCATAATGCTTTGCTAATTGTAGTGTAAAATGCACATGACTGAGAAATGTGCACTAGCTAGGAAGACAAAAAGTATACTGTCCCGATCCAGAGACATTCAAGTACTAGTGATAGGAAAACTTACAGAAAAACGCTCAATTTCAGCTTCTGTAGGAATACGCATTGCTTTTTGTGAGAGTTCGTTAAGTTGTATCCGTTGTACAGTAACAAGCTGCTGTTCGATGCCAACGTCAAGCTGATTTCCTTTCCTCAACACCGATTTCTCGACTGCACAACGGAACGGTGTCGCATGTAGTTGCTAAGTTGTGAAAAACAAACAGTAACCCAGGCTGGAACGCACCAGGCGGGCCGGAGCGATTATGCGTTTTTGCACTTTCGTACCGTAG